TCTTTTTTTTTTTTTTTTTTTGGTTCAGAGTTGAAGATAAAACTCACCTGATGACTTTTCAAACTTGTTGTTCCAAAGGTCTCTAATAGTTTTAAGATAGTTAATAAGCAATTCCTGAAAGTGATTAGAAAGTGAGGTTTGCGAACTTAGTGTCCTTTAAAAGGCTCCGCTTCAATTGCAAGCAAGATGGCTGATCCCTTCATCTCCTGGTACTCAAACCCACTGAAAACTGCTGTCCCATGGTCTCATTACAAGGAGCAGCTGTCTGGAGCACGTGTGCACTATTTCCCATCCTCTCCTTATCTGTAGAGGTTCCAAGGAACCAGTCTACTCACCGTTTTTTTAGTCCTTGCTGCGGTTGTTGGCTCCACTTTCCAAGAAACATCTTCAGTTCACCATACCTCCCCTGGAAGTCACAATCGGTTTGCATTTATGATGGTCGCAGCATCCCACAGTCACGTGATCAACCGCAGCCAGAACTGATGTAAGTCAGCGTGGTCACGTGATGTCTCACTTAATGACCGCACCACTTAACAATGGAATTGCTGGCGCCTGTTGCTATCAGTAAGTGAGGACTATCTATAAACTTAAAAACATCCCTTCCTGAGTAAGCAACATTATGCAAGGTGCAGAGAAGGAATAATTTAGATAAATAGGCTATCAAGAGATCAGTGTAGCTGGATACAATCTCCCACCTTGTCAGGTGCCTGATCCAGGCCACATGTAGCAAGCAGACAAGATAGAGATAACATCATTCCCAGCAACCCATTAAGCTTCCAATCACCAACCATTGCTCAGATTTCAGACCTTATACCTACTGCAAATACTGCAAGGCAATCCCCACTTCTGAATGATTGCACTGAGGAAGCCTCAGTGGGATGTGGGGTGAAATGTTTGCAGAACACCTGATCAGTACCTTGGTATTTATCTTCCAAAGCCCAGAGAACCAATTATCAAATGTGTTTCTTAATTTTGATAATTGATTTTGTGACACCATAAATGGAATATTTGCAAATAAATTAGTTGTGATGTTCAAACAATACAATCAGCATAACTTTTGCTTAGCTATGAATGCACCCAATTGAACAGCTGATTCTGCCAACTAGAGAAACTAACTTAAAACAATCTATGGGTTATTGTACCTTTGTTTTTCTGCTTATCAAGGGCAGAAGTTGCAGACAGACAACACAAGAAATTAAACAAACTGGCAACAAACATTGGAGAAGCATGTGGGAGATCAGGGAGAAGTCCGCTAACATACATTCATCATTAACTGTAAACTTACGCTTGTGTTATGTGAACATGTTCAGTACTGTGCTTCCGTATTTTCATAGCTTTCTCTTGTACCATTCTAGCTTTTAGTGGTGGTAGACACAAGTGAATGGCTTCATCTATTTTTCTCCTTTCTCCCTCCACCTAGTGATTGGAACAAGGCTGTGTGAACATTCCACATTGGAGAAATGAACCAAAATGAAGGCTCCAAGCTGGAACGTAGGATCTACAGTCTTATGGGCCAAGTCCTGCATTCTGTACACAACTGAAGTATACTGCAATGCTATGAACTTGAACTTTCGCTGTCTTCTGCTAGTTCACTTTGCTGAATTGATGTGTAATTATAAAAATACATGTGTTGATACATGTATATGGCTCTGTTTGCTTGCTCTAGAGGAGAATACTACAACTTTGGGTCACCAACTTGGTTCATTGCTTTAACTTTTGAATAATTTGAGATGATTTTGTTTACTGTGGGACTCCATAAGACACTTGCACAGTTTTTGTTTTTGTGTATGTCTAAAAAGCACAAGAGACAAATACACATCTAGCATACCGTATGTGCTTTATGTACACAAAAACATACATGTTATAACTTTTTTTCCCATCAGGTTTTCAGTAAATTGTGTGTCCTTTCAGAGGAAATTCTTGTATGCTTTGTATAATCATAGTTCATTGCTGCTGAGTTTCTATGAGAAATCATCTTATGTAAAACTTCTCTTAAAACATGAGGGCTGTCAGGATCTTTGTGACTTGCCTTTTCTATAGTCTTGCTCCTATGAAGGCCCTCTGGGTTCTGATGGAGTAGGCATGAAAAGCTTTATTTTTTTCAGATATCTTTATATTTCTATTTTTATTTTTAGTTGTGTAATATGTGCTACAGAAATTTGGTTCCAAAACATGATCCCAAAAAGATATTATTATCTTTTAGTAATATCTAAAGTTATTATTAGATACTATACAAGAAGACCTGACTGCGAGAAAACAGCTACTGCTGTATCTTGCCCAGATTGTGTGAATATGGGCTGCTTTCTAGCAATCGGAACTTACACTGTGTAATATTTATTGAGTTAAATTGGAAGAAGATAACATTCCCAGTCTTGGAAAAAAAATGCTGTTGTCTAGTCCTACGTTTTGTTTCCTGTTGAATAAAGCTATGCTATGAGATTCATATATAAAAACTTGCCATACATGTAACATTTGCCCCATGGTCTGCACTGTCAGATATAAAAATACATAAAATCTAAAGAGAGTTCCCTTTAGTTGCTGTGAGAACTTAACTATCAAGGATCTGACTGGCTTTAATATCGAGAAATACAATATATGAAGGGCGAACTGTACGAAAAGACTGGTGGTCCTTTTGAGGAAATGCCTTGGGATGTACTTTTAAATTGAGTTTAGCCAGATGACCTTTTTAGCTGTTAGAGATCAGTTTGTGTATATATATAAAGAGAGACAAGACTTGGATATATTTTTGAAAACAAAACAGAAAGCCTTTATTTCATATAGAGTAGCTGATGCCCGAAAACAAAGATAATACTTTTTAATGAAGATTCAGCTAATGAAAATCTTCAAGGTTGGAAGCAAATTAGTTTGGGTATAAGCTGATGTGTCTTTGGTACACTAAAGCCGGCACACTCTAAGGTTGTTTTGTGTACATGCACACAGATTTCATGCTTTTTAGTATCCTTTATTTGCCTTTCTCTAAATAATGTGGATGGAAAATGCCTTATTACAGAATAATTCTGATCATGATTTGAAATGTAGAAAAGTGCCTCTAGGGTAATGCTGGTAAGGCAAAGAATAAGATGATAAATTTGATCTGTTTACTATCTCACCAGTAAGCATTTTGTATACCATTTCTTATACCTCAGATATGTTTAATATTTTTGCAATCAACTGGAAAAAATGTTCACCATAGCCACTGATGGGAACTTCAATATCAAAATAACTCTTAGACCCTAAAAACAAATTTAACAATTTGCCATTCCTGGTAATAATCATGGAACGCATGCAAATAATTATAATTTAATTGGATGGCTTTATTTTAGAAAGAGATGGAAAGTTTACAAAGCAGTTTATAAATCTTAATGTCATTAGTTGCATTTGCACTAAATGTGATGTATTTTGCAAATCTGTAAATAAAAATTACACTAAAAGATACTATTTGTAAACTAAGTTTTACTTTTAGACAAGTGGTGTCACTTCATTACAGCTAGCCCTGCCCAATCTGTCTTGAGATTTCTTAGGGTATATAATAAGATAATGTGCTCAGTGCTTGCCTAGCAATTCTTAATGTGTTTTCTCCTGGACTAGAACTTCATTTTTAGTAATAATCCTAACTGATTATTGGCTCTTTTCATCTAATGCATCCATCTATCTGACACTTCACCAGTGGCATCTTTTGCTATAATAATGATGAACAAATTATAGTCCCTATTTGTTTAGTTTTTTGTGAATTAAACTATACAGTTAAACTCCGTGGGTGTAGGTGGCTTTATCTCCTTAGCTTGTTGTTCCACTGAAAGCCTGAATGGCCACCAGAAACAACATTAACATTAAAATCTATCAAATGCTGGACTTTCCTCTTTAACTGGGAAGGGACAACATGTTGAGACCTATCTGGTTTTTTAAAAACTTTTTTTAAATATTATTTTGCAATATGACTAAATGTTATAAAATCCTTGAAGGTGGAAATTTCTCTTACCTTATTGGGCTGAGCTGACTTGTAAGAAGTTGTACTGGTTCTCCTTAATCAAATGGTTAAGTCAAATTTTCACCAATCTTTTTGTCAACTATTGTATAAATGAAGCTGTATTTGAGTTACCATGTTCAACTACATACTCAAAACATGAATCAGTTTCTAGAATATCCCGAGTGTGTAGAATGTGACTGTTCTATGATAGCTTTATGATCCTGTTAACATTAAAAATAAATAACTAAATGGAGTTGCCTCTTCCATATTACAATCACAGATTTGAAAACCAGTATTTAAAAGTGCAAAGTATTAAAATATATTACAAACACATTTCTATTTTGTATTTATTTTTAATACTCAAGACTAGCATTACATTTTTTTTTAAACTGCTCCTAGTATGGTGCAGTTGCAAAAATACTATCGCTTTTATGTATGTCTGTGTCAGGAGTGGCCAACATTTTTGGTGGCTGGGCTCTGCACCTAACAAGTCAAGGGCATTAGTAGCAATTGGGACCGTGAGTGAGGTTGGGGGGTTTAAGATTTGTTTCTGGAGTATTTCATTTTCCCCCCAATACTTTTTCATAGGAGACTTTGTAAGCCATAAAAATATCAGGGGCCACATGCGACCTCCTGCTCTACACAAACAAATGTGATTCAGAATTTATATAACAGAGTAAACAATTTTTATATAACTCAACTGGTACTGTACTTAGTTCATTTCTGAATTCATATGTTATCCAACTAGCACCAACAATGATCAGTTTTTTCATGCATACAAATACACAAAAATTGAATCACAAATTTGTCCATGGTGGGAAGGGTCATGAGTAAGAGACTGAGTCCAAAGTTCATTCCAGCACCCCGTACAGGTTGCATAATAAAATGGAAATGTAAATAGACTCTTGATATAATACACATTGTAAAGGCAAAGACAAGAGCCATTATTCCATCAACATTCACTTGGATTATACAACTTGGAGCTGAACTGCACAATAAATACCCTTTAGAAGTGGGTGCTACTGCCATCAGCCATGTTCCATCACGCTGGTACTTTTTTCTGCTGGCTGTTACCACGTAAGTGGTTGACGACCGACTCCTGGTACTGCTGAATACTTTTACTTTTTGTTGGAAAGACAAAATGGAGAACAAATATCATTTGTTGCTTGATGGAGCACATCCCAGGAATACAAAAGGTTGTAGATGACAGTTCTGAATAGAAGTAGTAGAGAACTGGACAGTAGCTGACCTTTGCTTAAGAAACTCAAAGGCTGCTGGTCAGATTTAACATTTCCCCAGTTGATTGGCTCCACATATGTTGGAGCATAATTTCCATGGACTTGCTGGCAAAGGATAATAGGTACTGTTGTTCCCTACTGAGGAAGCCTGAAGTGGAAAATATTAAGTAGTCAATCTGACCTGTTACAAGGCACTTTCCTAGGATTTTGTACTTTTTCAGTCCAGAGTTCCTTTCATCTTTCTTTCTGAAGACTGTGAGTAAGAATGAATGCAGATTTTATGCAACAATCAGCCTTACTGCTCTGAAGCGGATTGCCATCTTGGAGTCTCCATCATTACAAGCTTTTGTGAAATGTGTGCCTTTAAAGAAAATAACCTAATTTTACTTTTTAGTTCTGTCTGGGCTGGATATGTGTTGCAGTCAATGGCATTTACTGCTTTCCTTAAGTAATATTACTGTTTTACTTTGGAACCTTCTTTTCTAAGATGTTTTGGAAGGGCTGGACATGGTGTAGAACATAGGAAGCAGCCATGTGTTTAATGAGACTGGCAGTAGCTTTCTGGAGCTATCAAGAGCAAAGTGAGCCCTCTTCACAAGCAAAGCATGACCTTCTGTTAGTTCACCTTCCAATCTCTTCAAAATAATTTGTGGGATCTAAAATGACAGAGAAGGCAGAGGAAACAGAAAACATTCTTAAATTCTTTACCAATAGGGGCCATAGGAAGAATATTTTCTTCTGTGTAATGAAGTGATTTCTTGTATCTATGTGTGTTTACAGCTGGTGCACTTTTGCCTGGCAGACTAACTGAGTGTGTGCTGTTGATATATTATCTGTGCGTATGTGCAGACACACAACTGTGAGGGACTAATCAGAACTGGTGATGAGATGTTGCCTTTATGTGTGTTTTTCTGCTCTCTTGTTGCATCTGCGTGTGTTTGTGTGTATTGAGCCCTTGAAAGCACAGGGCAGATCACTTATGCTCTACCCTGTGTCACAGAACCAAGAAAAAAGAGGACACAAGGAGAACAATCATCAGTATTCAGAGCCGCTGCCCAACCGCTTTGACCATAGGGGTACTTTGGGGTAATCTGCAATCCCCTGACCCATTTTTTATCTCGGTCTTTCTTTTGCTGACTCCTCCTCCTGTACCAAATTTGGTTTCATTCTGTTCAGTTTTGAAAAGTTATCCTGCTGATGGACAGCATATAGAATCTTAAACCCCTTGGCATAATTTTTTTCCAATTTTCCATTAGATTGGATTAAATTGAAGTCCAGATGCTGCTTTCTCTTTGCTACTGCTGAATGGACAAAGCATCATCCATGTTGCCTTATATTAATTGGCCGCTTTATTGCTTTTCTTTGTCTTTATGTATTGTCTTTATTCCAATGCTTATCCAAAAGGAAGATGTAATTTTTTGCCCAAATAATTACCTTGAAAAAGGGGTGAGGGGCGGTTTCAGTTAGTTGCAAAACTGAAGCAAGGGAGAAGCCAGGTCTGTCTCACTGAGCATGGCAATGTGGAGCTCATGGATGAAGGGACCTATCTTATGCCCCTTCTGAGTTTTTCTAAAATCTCAGTCTCATTGAGGTAGAAATGGCTTCCTCCTTTAATAGTATTTATTACCTTTAAATACTGTCTGCCTCTGTGTTGCAAATATTTGACTTGCAGTGAGGCAGTAATACATGCTTGTTCTTCTGCTTCAGTGCAGATACTTACTTTCTACCCATGGTTAGCAATAGTCTCCCTGTCTCCATTCCCTTCTTTCCCCTTTCTGTTTTGCTCCTTCCCCTGAAAGGAAGGAAGAAATATCTGTGATTTGTCTGAGAGAGAAAATGGGGTGTGGGGAATCAATTGATTTATATAAAAGTAATATTTGGGGCAAGTGATCTGAGATTGATTCCCTCCTCTCCCTTTCCTTGACCTCAGTGTTAACTCTGGGGATTGGGGGTAGGTAGGACAGTATTGTGCTGGTTCTCCTTCTTTCTCCAGGATTGATACCAGTCAGTGCTGATTGTGGGTGATAGATCCTGCCCTTGGCCCCTATTATGTGGGGTACCACAGGGTTTGGTGCTGTCTTCGCTCCTATTTAACATCTACATGAAGCTGCTGAGTGAGATCATCCATTGCCATAGGGTGAGGTATCATCAGTATACTGATGATACCCAATTATACATCTCCACCCCTGGCGAATTAAGTTGCTGTTGATGTCATATTCCAGTGTCTGGTGGCTGTGGTGGCCTGGATAGGGAACTTCAGCTGAACCTTGGCAAGACTGAGTGGCTTTGGGTTTTGGGGCCTTCCGGTTCTGGGACTTTGCCATCTTTGGTTCTGGGTGGGGTTGCATTGCCCCAAACAGACCCGGTGCACAATCTGGGGATCCTCCTGGACTCACAACTCTGCTCAAGGTGCAGGTGGCAGTTGTGGCTAGGAGAGCCTTTGCACAGCTTTGTGCTGTGTTCCAGTTGTGTCCATTCCTGGATCGGGAGGCTCTGCTCATGGTCACTCATGCCTTGGTCATCTCCCAGGTGGACTACAATAATGCAGTCTACATGGGGGTCCCCTTGAAGAGTATTTGGAAGCTTCAGCTGGTGCAAAATATGGTGACACAGGCAGTTATGTGTGCTCCTAGAACAGCACACATTACACCTCTATTCCATGAGCTGTACTGATTGCCAGTTGCTTCCAGGTCCAATTCAATGTGCCGGTTTTTACCTTTAAAGCCCTTCATGTCATGGAACCAGGTTATTTGAGGGACTGCCTCTCCCCAGTTACATCTGCCTGTCCTGTCAGGTCTGGCAGAACAGGTATGCTACAGTGCCATCTACTGAGCTACATCTGGCAGGACCCAGGAGGTGGGCCTTTTCTGCCATGGGACCTAACCTCTGAAACATTTCCCCTGAGGTGAGACTAGCCCCATCCTTGATAGCCTTCCGGAAATTCCTCAAAATGTGGCTATGTCAACAGGCCTGGGGATCTCAAGGAAATGGAAATTTGTTGAGATGGCAACATTGTAACATCAAAGATGCTCTCTCCTAGTCTCTTTTTAATAATATTGCTGCTGTTAATATGGCACGTTTTAATGTTTGCTTTTTATGGTTTGCTTTTATTATATGCTGCCCAGAGTCATGTTTGTGAGATGGGCAGCTATATAAATGTGAGGAATGAATGAATGAATGAATGAATGAATGAATGAATGAATGAATGAATGAATGAAATA